AATTAAACTTCATATTTATACGTTGTCATAGTTATTTTTGGTCCATAAGCATAGATCTTTAAAAAGGTTATGATCTCAAATAATCCGGGTTGTTTGGGTAATGAAAATATCACCATCAAATGCAGCTCCGTGCTCCGTTGCCTTGTCATATAACAATAAAAATTAGTTTCCCAACCATGGCCATGACTTTAGACCTGTGTTGTATTAAGACGGACTTTCTTTTACATTTGACTATACTGGTCAAACTTTCACAACAAATGAGCAAGCACTTTATCCTTACAGACTATAATCTGCTAACATTTGCATTGTCATACATACCAAACTCAAAATGTAGTGGACTTTTAATACTTTAAAGCCATTTAATGGAGTAAGGGTTATAGCTAGAATTATTACAAAAAAACTTAATTAAAAAACAATCACATCTGCTGTTTTCGAACTCGAGTCCTTATCAATGGAAAGAATACATTTTTTTAGCCTTACCGCCATACTGACATTAGATCTTTTACAGAAACTTGACGCTTGACGGTAACTGCAACGTTATACTTTAATATGAATGTTTAATAACTTCTGCGTATCATAATTAATTCGATGGAACTTTTTGCGTTACTGTGAAAGAGAGAATACTTGTATTCCCAAAACGACAACCGCCTAAAAACCTTGGATGTATTTGGTAGCTGGGTTTACTCGGAATTTGGATTTACTTTATTGCTCAAAGGGGTTACAAAAAAGATGGAGATTTGGAAACATTTTATATTATCCCTTGAACCCATTGATTTGTGCAAGTGTATATTGTTAGCAGAAAGATTTCCGATTTCAAAAAGTATTTAAATTCTTCGTTCGAAAGTTTCGTATGTTGGGAGCTGAAATGTTTGTGAAGCTAGCCCGTGGGTACCCCAGGGAACCTCTCATTCAGGAAGACCGATTAGAAAAGTATAAAATGATTGAGTTAAGAATTTAGAATTAAAAGGTTAACCTCTGCACTTTGGGTGCCATATTTAAGCTCTAGATATCTTTAAACTTCAAATTTCGGAAACTTTATATTCGAATCAAACGAATGCGTCTTACCTGTTCTTCCTTCTTGATAAGTATTGATATAATGCACGAAATGTTACAATTTAAATTTTTAGTATTTGGTATAAATATATTAAGTCCAGTAGTGTGGGCTTAAACAGAACATTTAACATTGTTTTAATAACAATCTGGTTTACTTTTAGCCCGCATGCAGGATTTAATCAATACCCTCGTGGTCACTAGTTTCGCAAAATCCATATACCCATACCCAAAGAATTTCAATGTATGTATGAATATATATGTACATAGCATATATGTATGTATGTATATGTTGTATGTACTTAGGAGTGTAATTGAGTATAATTAATTACATTAGAAACCAATATTAATCTGACTTTGAGTCTTATAAATACATAAGTAAGAGTATTAAAGTCATTTACATTTGTATAAAATTTACAACATTTTTAACTATTAAAACTCACTTATATATATTTTAACTTTCTCATATCATTATCTCACACACATATGCGTATACAATATATATAAAATTTCATTTACAAAAAAAAAGAAAGGAAAACATCAAATGAGCAAACATATGTATGTATGTATGTGTTTTTCCCCGTACAAAAACCGTTACATACTATGCTATTCTATTCTACTATTTCGATTCTACTTGTTTTTATTATTATTATTATTTATTACAATTTCTTTTGTATCTTTTCAGTTTTTATTTATGTTTAATAGGCAAATTACATATTACACTTAGCACCAAAACAAACACAATACATTTTGTATACTAGAATGTCCCCAGTAAATAAATACATACAAACTTTTATACCAAACTGGTATACCCTTACCTTGCCTTGCCTAGCGCATGCGCAAAAAGTATTGTGGTTATATAAAGTCGATAACAGTATAAAACGAATGGCTTGAAATGCACTTACAGGGTCTATACCTGAAAAACTTAGTGTTAATAGCATTCACATAACTATCTCTCACAGCTGTGTGAAACGAAGTTTAATAACTCCAACAAGAAAATGATTTAAAATGTAGTATTCCTATTTTTATACTCTGAACCCATTGAAAAAGGGGAAAAAGACTGCTGAGGGAAAGACTACTGATTTTTTTTTTCAAGACATTACATCTTGGGCTTGAATTTATGCCTGTTTTAAGAATTTTACATCAGCCAATGCAGAGTGAGGGGGTAGGCCTGAAAATAAAAATATGTTTCTTCTGTGTAACGCAAACTAGAGGCTTAGGGGCCACAGGTGTGATATGGGGAATACTTTTAGCTATGGAACCTAAAACACGCTGTATTCCGGACGACAAGCCTTCTAGCGGCCGCTGTAAATTTAATTGTTGCTATCGTTCTGTAAGAACTTCTACGACAGCGAACGACTCGTATAACTTAATGGGTTTTCTCGTACCGATGTCACACATTTCAGAGCAGAACTAGTATCCGCCGCAGACTTAACAGCTACCGGGGTAACAAAATATATGATCTGCTGTTTGATCGGGGTAGTAGAGATAATTAAATACTTTCATGGAGGTTTACCGCCGATGGAGGGCGGCCAACCTCAGGCTGAACAGGAAGAAGCTGATCCATCTAGGACATGATATTTGCGGAGAAGGGATACGTACTTCTCCGGAGAAGGTGAAGGCGATACGTAACCTTAGGGCTTCATGGTACAGGCGTTTCGTTGACAACTTCGCGACTCAGGTATAACCGCCAACACCGCAGGAGGAGACACTGCCTCAATTTAAGGATAGCTTGACGACTGCCCTTTTTTGGTTTTTCCGTCCGGCTTTTCTGTTCGGCTTTTCCGCACAATTCGTCGTGTAGACTGATGCGAGTGAGCATGACTTCGGCGCAGCGCTTAAGAAGACAATAAAGGGACAGGAGCGGGTAAAAGCGTACGCGAATCGAAAGTTGAAAATGAGAAGAGAAAGAGTGCTGGCAATCGTGCGGTCAATCCGCAAGTTTCTTTGCTACTTAGAGGGATACCGTTTCGATGTAATAACAGATCATCTGGCAATCAAGTGGCTCAACTCGATCGAGAACTTTTCAAGGATGATGGGAAATGGACACTGGAATTGCAACAGTTTAAGTTCGATGTCCACTACTCACGAGGGAAGCTCCTCTAGAGACCTGTCAGCAGGCAGTGGTGGCTGAGTCCCCTGTGAATGAGTTACGAGAATGCGTGCCAGGATCGCCGAAAAGCCAGCCAACCCTACATAGAATAAAATGAGCGGTTGTATAGGCACGCCAGTCGTCAACGGCAGAGGGTATCTCGGGAATGACATGGTGCTCCCACGGCCGGTCATCAAGGCTGGAGGAAAAAAGTGTCAAAGTTGGACCAGAGGTATGGCTGGCCGGGCATATTCCGCAAAGCCGCCAAGTAAGTGAAGGGCTGCAAAGTCTGCCAGAAGTTCAAGAGCGAATAACTGATGGCATGCTGACGAGATGATGACGAGCAACGGGCCAAGTTATCGAATATCGGAAATGAACTCGTACTGCGCAGCCACTGAGAGGGCCTACGGTGCAAATTTAAGTCTCTAGATCTTACAGGTACTGTAACCGTTGCGTTCAGCCATATAAACGGACGGACGGATAAACAGGCGGAAATGATGCTGATCATATAATAACAAAAATATACAATACTTGCCCTAGACACTTTGGTTAGTTCCCCCTAATGCACAAAGCAATGAGTGGGACCGAGGATCAATGCTCATGCATACACACGTATGCTGTAAGGAATTCAAAAGTAAAATATTTAACTTCGGCCACAGCGGCGTTGAGCTCTGAGCGCGATACGGTTTGAAACTGATCGCTCAGCTCCTGAGGCTCGGCTTTCATTTGCCACTCTCAGCAATCTCACTCTCTCTGGAAATTACAAAATAAAGACGAATAATCTGTTCCTATCCCATACTGTTCCAAGAAATATTAAGCCGATAATCATAATCAATAGTCAAAATAAATTAAAGAGTTTGCTCGAAATGTCTGACGATCGCGATCTGACTCTGAAAACCTGCTAATAGATATATGGCAAGAAAATATTGGCGAACTGAAAGATGCACGGGAAAATTCGAAGAGTAGATAGATCAACCTGGGTTCATGTCAAGCTGGTAGGTATTGTGAAAGGCTTTAAATTGCACGAAATATGCAAGGCACAACTTAATCAGAGTATAGCTAGGACTGGCGAACGATAAAACCAAATGTGGCTGTTGATGGCGTAATTATTACTTTCTATGAATAAATATGTAATAGGCAACTCAACATTTAACATCTGTCAAGTTGTTCCCTTAGACATTGCCGTGCCAACATCTTCTCATTAATATCAAAAAATCTGTTTCTATCCCATACTGTTCCATTATGTGAAGAGCAATATTGCAATTGTCACTGATGCTGATTTTATGGACATTCAAAACACGATGGCGACGTAATTTGTTAGGTAATTTCAAATCCTTTCTCTATCTTTGCTACAAATGGTCAAATTTTGAGATACCTTTTCGTTGGTTCACTTCGGCAATAAAAATAACAATTGCGTATCTATTTTTAAAATTCAGCACATTGTACTACTTCCATTTTCAAAGATTCGTTCCTCGAAAATGCCCTCAACGTAAATTGCCAATACCATACATTTTCACAATTATAATTTATAATTTTATAGTTGCTGTCTTGACTAAACATTGTACTAGGGATGATCGATAATGTTATTTCTGTGTCACAGTTACAAGAATTAGCGGCAAAAATTTGTGACAAAAAATAAACGAGAACATCTATTGAAAGCCTGATGGGCTTCAGAAAGCGGGTTACAGATTGAGGATATCCCGCAGTCAGGCAAAAATAATCTTCATATGACAAATATTGCTGTACTGTTAATTTGCATTCCTCATAATACTTTACGTCGTTCCATTGCTTTACTATCGCTTAATGTCTCAGGTTGATTTTTTGTAGACGTTGCTTTTTTAATACTTTAAAATACTTGTTACTTTAAACGGGTTGAGTAAGAATCGTTCTTCTCTAATGTGTAGCTCATGTGTACAAAAAGTATTCTTTAATTTTCGAAGAATCTTGCAAAATCAAACAGTGAGTAGTGATAATACTACTTATTTACATACACGCATACCAGGGATTGCCTGCTTGCTCACATATAACGTTTGACTTTGAATAAAGAATATGATGTCCATATGCAAAACAAACGGAAGAAATTATACTCTATTAGCAAAATCTACTTGGTCGGGTGACCACCGAAATTTTAGGTTTAAACATTTGGACAAAAAGCAGATTAACTATAATTAGATTCGTCACATTAAGTTATTACAATATAAAGCGAACGGCGGAAAATCATAAAGACAATATGTATAAGATTTTTTACTACTAAATCTGATATAGAGGGTCGCCGTTGATGAATGTGCCAAAATTTGGCCGGTATCTTTATAATATGTACATATGCATGTATGTATTTAGATTCTTGTATGACACACAAAAAAGTATTTTTATTTGATGAATACTGATAAACTTAAATGAACTGATAATACTATGTGACAAAATATGGCGCATTTGATGATACCGATATTTTTGATGGATTTTTAGTTCCTAAAACTTAAGTGATATTCTTTAATACTTCTTATACCTGGTCTAATTCTTTAATTTAAATTAGTTTTCTTTTAATTTACTATCTCATTTTGTATGCTCGACATGAAAGGGATCCGTTCTAAAAACCAATAATTGTATGAAAACCAAATTCGTTTTTAAAGCTTTCAACCAAAGTATACAGTTTTTAATTTCAATGTGATTAGCATATTAGCGTATCATATAGCTTTTATTGTTGCTTAAAATCCGACTTATAATATTCTAAAGGGTATTGTAGTTTTGTTGAGCATTTATTGTTGAAAATTTCAGTAATCGAAATCTATCATCCACTACTTCTGCATTTTTAATATTTCCCTTATTTTCTATACGTACTGCATTTTTTTTAAAAAAATACTGAAGCTCACTATCATATGAGCTATTATATTTCCTGCGATTTCTCTAGGCATTTCTCGCCACAAAACGAATCGCCGTCTCTTGTTGCTAATTCCACATTTTCGTCCCTCTATGGGATATACAAAATAACTAGTTCTCGAAAATAATTTCTCCTATCAGAATTAATATTAAATCCTATATCTTATAATACTGGGAGTGTGCCTCTTCTTCTTAACGAAGCCACTACCATCGTTTAGTGAGTAAACTAATTGCTGACAAGCCCTTGGTGTTTCGATGTCATTAGCATGTCATTAGTACCACTATGCAGTTTGATAAAACTGTAAAAAGCAGCAAAATTAGCTAGGCATAAACCATCTTAAGCGTAGGGGCGCTGAGCATAATGTTCTATTTGCTTCTGGTAATAAGGTATTGATATAAACGACTGCGTTGCTGCTTTCGAATAAAGGCATATCTAAACAGCAGTACCTGCTTATAACGAGAAAGAAAATAGCTAGCTAGAAAACAGGGTATTCCCTATTCGGGGATAAAACGTTCCGTGCGCAGGGCCGGGCAATACTCGCTCGTTGTTATATATATATATCTCAGTTAATATAAAATTTCATTTTAGGTAAAACTGGCGACTTTTATCCTGAAAAATCAACCATGAAGACACGGTTTAACTCTTACGATATAACATGTGGTGTCGCAGAGCTTCAAAGGTAACAAAATATCGTAAAGATATTTATATCTATATTTCTTTATATACCCTGAGTATATTGAAATTAGATGAACAGTAAAATTGGATTCATGCAAATGCATGTAACAAACAAAACATAGCAAATTTAACAATAATATTTCTATTTTAGGTTAATTGGCTTGCGTGTAAATCAGGTGTATGATATTGACAACAAAACATATCTTTTTCGGCTTCATGGAGGCGGAGCTTCGGAGAAGGTTACATTGCTGATTGAGTCTGGCACGCGTTTTCACACGACTGCATTTGAGTGGCCAAAGAATGTAGTGCCTTCAGGATTCAGCATGAAGCTAAGAAAGCACTTAAAAAACAAGCGACTTGAGCGTATAAGTCAATTGGCCACGGACAGAATTGTCGATTTTCAATTTGGCACTGGGGAAGCTGCTTATCATGTTTTGTTGGAGCTATACGACCGAGGAAATATTATTTTAACTGATTACGAGCAAATAATATTATACATCTTACGACCTCACACAGAAGGAGAATGTTTGCGTTTTGCCGTTCGGGAAAAATATCCCAGTGGCCGAGCACAAGTTGGAAACATTGAGCTGTCGGAAGAAGCTCTGCGTGAAATAATAGAGCAATCAAATGTTGGTGAAGGTTTGAAACGTATTCTATTGCCAGTTTTAGGCTGTGGTCCAGCTGTAATTGAACACGTTCTAATTGAACATGGAATAGAAAATTGCGTTGTTAGTGCGCAACAAGAACAAACAGAAACATCGAAAGCAAATAGATGTAAAAAAAATAGGCGTAGCTCACAAATAAGTAGAGCTGATACTAAGTTATTTGATTTTGCGACCGATCTACCATTGCTAGTGAAGGCTATTCAGGTTGGTAAATAATTTGTTTTTATATCTTAAGTTACTTTAAGATTTGGGTTTGCTTATTTTATTAGAGAATGTGCAAATAACTGTTTCATAATATAGTTGTATAAACTTGAAACTTCTCCCCATACATAAAATCTTAAGATTATCACACTGCAAAATCATAAAGATGGTATAATTAAGATATCTATAACAAACTCGGCATTTCCTATTTTATTTATTCTGCTTAAATATGAGGTCAATTTTATCAAAAGCGCACCATTATAATGTATTTGTCATTAGAAAGAATCGGTCGAAAATGAATTTTTGTATTCCAAAATATTCTGCTTTACAAGATATTTTCATTAAACTCAGTGATGAAAATTATTGCAATTTTTTCTATTTGAACATAACATTTTCTTTTCCATCAATGATCTGGGCTTAATTTCATTTGATGGGTGTTTCATAGTTTTCGAAAAATGTATTTATACTGGGGAGAAATGTAGGTCAAAGATTAGGTGGGTGATGTTCACATTTCATTTTCAAATCTCTACATAAAAACTTAATGAATACGTGGTTCAGCGATTTAGAAAGTTCCTCTCAAATTTTTAACATATGTGCAAAACCATTAGGCAAATTTCAACAAGGGTAAAGTTATTCTTCCTTTATTTAATATGTTTTTTGCCTTGGAGCTTTAAAGGGATTTGCGTCAAAAAAGCTGTCATTTGGATTCCTCAATTTAGATTTTGCTAAATCTTCGCCATGACAAAGTTATTCTTGCTTTCTTGTTTATGATTTAATATATATCTAATATACATTATAGGCATGATTATATCGTTTCTCTTTTTTGCCTTGGACCTTGACAAAAGGAAACATGTTATTTGAAAATCCCAAATCCTTATTTCAATCTTTGTACGCTCCCGTCCGAAACATTCAACTTTAGGTCTCCAAGGTTTGTAGGGGTGATATTTTTTTAACCTCGATTATAATTTTTCGGTCTTGATGTGTTGAAGTCTTACATTTTCTGCTATACATCTTCAACTTTTCTTTACAGTTTCAAAAAATTTTAACTGCGTAAAAATTGTTCAAACTTTTTCCGCTTACATATCATAAAGTTTATATATTCTTGATCAGCATCAATAGCCGATTTGATCTAGCCATGTCTGTCTGTCTGTCCGTAAGTATGAACACAAGAATATTAGAACATATAAGAGCTAGAGACTTTAAATTTTAGCTGTAGGTTCTCCTAGTCCATGAGAGGATAATCGATAATTTACTCAGTTTTCAAGCAATTGATAAAAAGAGAAACCTCTTGTTGATTTAGGTAAGAAAAAAGTTCAATATTTCTAAAAATAAAACAAATTACTTTTTGGTAGTGCTTAATGCTTTTAGTATACAGGTTGTATTGGCATATCCTTTTAGTTTTGAGACGAAGTTTTATTATTTCAATGAATTAAATATTTTGTCCTACCTGACCATAAGGTTTAAGAATGTTCACAAAAGCTTACTATATTTTATACTGTGTAATAAGGAAAAAACGCGCGTGTTTCTTTTTCTTTTATTGAAAATAGGTATTAACATATACGTTTGAATTGAAAGACATCTTTGAATTCATGTCATCTTATCCTGTTTATATTTATTTGCAGAGCGCTCGTGATATAATGGACTTGGGACAGAAAGGAAACTGTAAAGGATTTATAATTCAAATTAAAGAAGAAAAACCGTCAAGTACTGAAAGTACTGACCATTTTTATAGAAATGTTGAGTTTCATCCGTACCTATTTTCTCAGCACAAAAAAATGCCTTTCAAAGAGTATAACACATTCATGGAAGCAGTAGATGAGTTTTTTTCTACGCAAGAATCGCAAAAAATTGATATGAAAACATTACAACAAGAACGAGAAGCCCTTAAAAAGCTTTCTAATGTTAAAAATGATCACACAAGGCGGTTAGAAGAACTTAACAAAGTACAAGATTTAGATAAGAAAAAAGCGGAACTAATAACATGCAATCAAAGTTTGGTGGATAAAGCTATTTTGGCGATCCAGTCAGCAATAGCAAGTCAGTTGTCGTGGCCAGACATACAGGAGCTTGTAAAAGAGGCCCAAGCTAATGGTGATATTGTAGCACGATCGATAAAAAAATTAAAGTTAGAAATCAATCATATATCGTTATTGCTAACTGATCCATATAAATGCGGAAACGAATATCTGAATGATGAGAATGGTGCTGATAATGATGATTCGCTTTTAATAGATGTTGATTTGGCCTTATCCGCATGGGCTAATGCATGCCGATATTACGATTTGAAGCGTTCAGCGGCTCTAAAGGAAAAAAAAACGATCGATGCATCCCAAAAAGCACTCAAGTCGGCTGAACGTAAAACGCAACAAACTCTAAAAGAAGTACGCACCATATCTAATATTGCCAAGGCACGTAAGGTCTTTTGGTTTGAAAAATTTTTTTGGTTTGTTAGTTCCGAGAACTACTTAATAATTGGAGGAAGGGATGCGCAGCAAAATGAACTCATTGTTAAAAGGTGAGTATATTGATAAGATCTTTAAAAGTTATTTAAGAAAAAAGAGTCCTCTAGTCGGGAGTGGGTGACTTCTACAAAGATAGCTGACAAACCTCCAGAAGATATCTGCCAGGCTCAGTATCTGACGGTAGCAGTAAAGATTTCAATCAACGCCTTCATTAGCCAAAACAGCGTAAGCCTTTCTCCAAGAAGTCTAAACGACAGAGACCCGTGCTGAATAAGTGGCCACCACAAGGCAACCCCTACTGGTCAGCAGTCTAAAGACGGAAGTGCATGCATAAGTTCACCAGGGTCGGTGGATTTTTTGGATTTTGGATGAGCTAGTTACAAAGAAAGGAGTTCTTATTTAATAGTCACAATAAAACTCTTGCGAACAAAACTCGTTTTTGCAGCTGGGCTCCAAATATAAGAGTCGTATTAACCGACCAAAAGCCAAATATAAAGACAGTCTCGTGAACGAGTCTTTAAACTGGATAAAGATGCGTCTAACAAACCCAAACACCGTGAGTGTTAGGCATAATATAGTTGATGGCCGACCGAAAATGAACTTAGTTAATCTAAGAGATAATCTGACGCACGAAAGAAACCTTAAATTAATAATAAATTTATTAAATTAAAATGGATCAAAATAGGTACCTGCGGAACCCCTGAAGATGCGACATAAGGTGCGGACAAAATTTGCAATAATAACGATTTGGCAGATAGAAACTTACGCAGATTAATAAAGAAGAATGAAAACCCAGCCCAAACAATTTCTTAACAAGAACCCAATGGCAATCGAAGCCTTTAGAAAAGTCAATAATTTTTGAAAAACACCAAATACCATCGCAATCCGACTGAGAAGAATTGTTTGGGGTTCTAGCGGCATCATAATAATCGTCGTCTGAAAATGTGTTTCCATCATTTAAAATGTTAGAAATGCAGCCAAGGGAACGATCGTCAACGAAATCATAAAATTGCTGAAAGTTCGAGCTAAAATACTTGGCAAATGGATGAGCTCTTCCAAAATCAGAATTGGCTGTACTGTACTAAAGCAGGCAGTGGGGGTCAAAATTTTTAGCCACCAAGCAGGCACAGCCGGCTATGTATAGTATTTACACTCTCGGCTAGATCTTAAACTTAAAGATCTTTTACTTAAAACATTTTTTATTTTCTATGTGCCTTTAATTATCGTTTTTTGTCTTCAAAAATAGGTACATGCGTCCAAAGGATGTATATGTCCACGCCGACATTCAAGGTGCATCAAGTGTAATAATTCGAAATTCTACTGGAGGAGATATTCCACCCAAAACATTATTAGAAGCTGGTACTATGGCGATTTCGTACAGTGTTGCGTGGGATGCAAAGGTTGTGACAAATTCATATTGGGTTTATAGCGATCAAGTTAGTAAAACTGCACCGACAGGTGAATATTTGGGCACAGGCAGTTTTATGATTCGCGGAAAAAAAAATTTTTTACCATCTTGTCATCTGATAATGGGACTAAGCATACTTTTTAAACTTGAAGATAGCTTCATACAACGCCATGTAGGGGAACGTAAAATTCGAAGTACAGAAGATGCTATTGATCAAGAAAATGTTAAACAACCAGAAATTACATATACAGATCCTAATCAAATAACCGAGCTTAACGATGCAAACAGCGACTCCGCAATAAATGTTTTTCCAAACACTGAAGTAAAGGTTGAACATGATACCGGCCGAATAACAATTAAAACTGAGTTATTAGGTGAAGATATAAAAACTAACATTATTGAATCACAACATGATAATCCAATAAATGAAGAAGATGCAGTCATTATAAAAGCCGCACCATCCCGTAAAAAAAATCAACAAACAAAAAAAAGAAAAGAATGCAAAGGACACATGGAAAAAGCAGATCTTGAAAGGCTCCAAAATAATTCGCCAGAAATTCAACCCATTAATTCCTCCAAAGTAAAACGAGGCCAAAAGGGAAAATTAAAAAAGATGAAACAAAAATATAAAGATCAAGATGATGAGGAACGTGAAATACGAATGATGATTCTTAACTCTTCAGGAAAGGACAAATTGAAAATTAATAATGACAAAGATGAAGACAAACCTAACATTTCAAATAAAATAGCTCCAGTAGAAAAATTAGAAACCGCCATCCCCAAAAACCAAATTGAAATTGAAGAAAACGACGATCTTCCGATAACCACTGACGCCGATTTGTTAGATAGCCTCACTGGTGTGCCTTTCGATGATGATGAGGTGTTATTCGCTATTCCAGTTGTAGCTCCGTACCAAGCATTGCAACAGTATAAGTAAGTATAGCATCAGAATCAAAAATTAATTATATTTTTGGTAATTTTTCAAAAAAGTTTTCATCTATCGCTCAAAAATAATTCATAAATAGCCGCTCACTCGATCAGTTGAGCGCGCGGGTATTTGGGTGCTTGACTATGGCATCACCCTATAGCAACGGCTTCGTAGTTATATGACCCAAGGTTCCTGGCTTCTATCTTATCTAAAAATCTTAATTCGAAATTTTTTACAGGTTCAAAGTAAAACTTACGCCTGGTACCGGAAAACGTGGGAAAGCGGCTAAATTAGCACTCAGCATTTTTTCAAAAGACAAAGCTTGTAATAACCGAGAAAAGGATTTGCTGAAGAGTATTAAAGATGAAGCTCTTGCACGAAACATCCCAGGAAAAGTAAAAATTTCTGCACCTATGTTACAAAAGTTACGAAAGTAAATATCGACGACCAAAATGGCAATTCTTTATTCGAAATTATAAGTAAACTATGTACTTATAAAAATAAGGAAACTAAATTATTATAATAAAGTTTACTTTGGAATTATCAAATACAAGTGATAACGGAATAAAACGAAAAAAGCTTATGAGTCAATTTTTCCGCATGAAAAATGGCGCAGATATGTTAAATGATTATTAAAATTACATTTGTGTTTACTTTAGTGGTGGGCTCGGGATGGATGGCAGGAAAAGGATTGGAAATCTGGAAAATTTTCAGTTTTGCTGTGGGGACCTATTTGCTTAAAATAAAAAAACAAGTAATAGGATCTAGTCGGGAGCTCCCGTGTAGGGGATACCCTAAACCCTCTTCTTCCAAGATTAAATGCATATATATATTCTATTTTAGAAGCTATATGTCAAGTTTGGTGGCTCTAGCTCTTATTATTTACCAAAATTGCCAAAAAAAAAAACAGATATGGATATCGATTTATATCGATTGCTTGGAAATGGAGTAAGTTATCGACTATCGGAAGCAAACTCGATCTGCGAAGGCACTAGACCACCTACATCTAAAATTTCAGTCTCTAGCTCTTATAGGTTCTGGGATCCTTGCGTTCATACGTACAGACGGACTGTCATGACTAGATCGACTCGGCCATCAAAAATATTTATGCTTTATTGCGCTGGAGAGGCTTTATCCTGCCTGTTACATACATTTCGGTATCAGCGATATAAAAACTGCACATGGATTGCGTTTGATTGCGTTGCTATATGTATAGGTGAATAAAAGTGCATTATTTTTATTTTTGTTTCTCCATAATGCGGTAGAAATGCACTTGCTTTATGCTGTTGAGACCTAACCCGGTATATATATTTATGGATATGAATGCACGATTAAATGAACGCACTTTTAAAAAGCAATGCTACATTATAATAAAGTCATCTGTCTTAGCGCATATTGATATTAAAACATTTTCACATAAAAGACAGCGATAGTGTATATGTGCTTTGATGCCAAGCAAATTCTGTTTTCCCTTAAAATTAAATTGAAAAACACAAGGGTTATGCTAGTTCTCCTGCTGTTAGCAGCTGAGTTAGGAGCAAATCCTTTGCTTAAACATGTTATATACCAGCCACATTCTAACGTCTTGATCACTTGTTGCTGCAAGGTTCTCTTTACGCAGTATTTGCTTAATCAACACAGTAAATTGGCATCTGAGCGAAAATAATTGAATTGCATTGCCACAGAGAACAGTATATCAATAATATCAATTGCCAATATTATTGATATATTGATTGAAGAAGAAACGAAAGAAACCTTTCGTACTCGCGGTTACTTAAAATCCGAATCGTTGCTGCGAATCGTAAATCAATTTTTTCTAATATTTAACCGACTTTTGCATAGAACTCGCTTAAAAATTTTATTTAAATGACTTTACAAAATATTAACAAAGTTCTCTATGAAATACATAAAGGGGTTCATATGGGAACATTATTTTTAGCGGATGTTTCTTACAAGAAACGGTCGCACAATGTTTGCACGGTACAAGCACACGTAAAAGAAAACAGCGGCATATATAGAGCATTTCGTTTACTATCGAAAGAAAAGTATCGATATTTTATAAAAGAAAAACATCGATAATATGATTGTGCGACAATGTTTTTGCAGCACAAATCAAAGTTGATCATGGAAAGGGATACTTCGTTTGTCAATATTAACGTGTTATTTTTTGCAAAAAGTCGTGAATTAGCAAAAACATCTCGAGCAGAATTTACTGTTAAATCTGTGCTCATAGCAAGGAACTTGTTGAATCAATTGATAGATCGCTTCAACTTGAACACGATAAGCAACAATTTGATTCTAGCTCACAACGAAAACTATATTGAAAACCTGGACACGGAGATCAATTTACAAAAAGGAGACGAGATTGCTGTTATTCCGCCTATAAGTGGCGGGTAATAAAATGGACCACATTCAACTGCTTAACGACAAGATTGACATTAATCTTATCCATCAACTGTTAATCGATCAAAGTTGCGGTGCTTGTTCCGTTTTTCTTGGCACAACACGTGACAACTTTGAGGGAAAAAATGTATGATTTTGTTTTTGTTCAATATCTTAAGTACGTCAAGTACGTTATGTACATACTTTAGTTCTACGTAAATGTTGACAGTCCACTCTAAATACTTTACAAAATATATAAAGTTCGTTAATGTTGTATATTGTACACACAATATTCCTTCTGTTAATGTCTAAATCTATGGAACTCCTCTTGACCAATTAAAAGAAAAACATTCGAGTAAAACAAACACCAACCTTCACTATACTTAAAAAAATAATTAAACAATCGAAACAAGTAAACTGTTCTTACCCACGATTACTAGCGATTTAAATTATGTGCCTGCATAGTTATCCAAAGGCTCTCCAACAAACGGAATCAGCCGTTAAGATTGTTGTATTATAGAAAAATTTATATACCCTTGTAAAGGGATTATGATTTGTCGATCCCATCCAAATTAGTATGTATGTATATCCATGTTCATCCTTCCGGCTGTGTGTTCCTCTGCGAACGAGTTTCTCAATCTCCATCTTGAAATTTTGTATATGTCCGTCTATCTCTTTTTACCCATTTTCAATGAGCTCAGCGTATAAAAACACCAATAGTCGAATTATTCCACGTTTGCCAAAAGGTACATACAATCAGTTTACTTGTATTTTGATTTCTTGTTAACAATCCTAGTTCTTAAATATTTATAAAACTGCTCACTAATACTGCCAATTGCGCACTGATTGCTGTGCCAATACTTACATATACATACATATGTATGTGTATGTGAAAGTCTGTACATATGCATGCATATGCATATTCATACATGTACGTATGTACATATGTCTTGTTTCTTATGAAAGTCAAGTCACGCCACACAAAAGTATAATAACGGTACTAAGAAAGGTGTCCAAAGAAGAATTGATCAAAGGCATTGAATAAATAGACTACACAACATACAGAAGATAATGTGCCGTTACCATTTAGAAAGATAGCGTTATTTTATATTTCGATGAAAGAATATTGTAGATTTATAAATGCAATGCTTAACATTTACATACATACATCCAGGACGCCATTTTAGTTATGGAGAACAAAAACAAGACATAAATTCAAATCTATCCTTGAATCCTTTTATAAGTTGAATAGGAATTAATATCCAAGTCGAAATAGACAAGGCTGCTCGTAGAAAAGCTTAAGGTTTACCAGATAGTATAATATATTGTTTTGACCATCATGTAATTGTCTTGTTTATGATCATATTTGCATATGCAAAAATATATATATGTAAATACGACATTATAATGGTTTTCTTCATGCATACAGGTTATATCATTGGAATATGAAGCTTATGAGAACATGGCTTTAAAAGAAATGGGTAAAATCTGCACTGATTTACGAGTTCGCTGGCCAAGTCTTAAGCATATCGTGATATACCACCGACTCGGAATCGTTCCTGTGAGCGAAGTTAGTGTAGTGATTGCCGCTTCTGCACCACATCGTGTAGCTGCATTGGAATCTGTCAACTTTGCCATAGATCAGCTGAAGTCACGTGTGCCTATATGGAAAAAGGAAGTGTATGAAAAAGACCTAATCGGAGAGTGGAAGGCAAATGTCGAGTGCCCTTGGCCCCGTAAGACACTCTAAGTTTTTTATTTGTATGAGACACATTTATTGTTACAAAAAAAGCGTTTTATCTTTTTCTTAATATACAACAGAATATTCAAAAACATCTTTAAGGACTTTCGAATTCTTTTCTTGCAAAATTGATCAGAAAACTGAAAATATTCCAGATAAGTTAGTACAAATCAGAGTCGATGACAGCGAGCTAAACAGACGTGTGAAATGTTTTTTAAAAAGGAAACGAGATGAAATTAATCTATATAATATACATGACTTTAAGCAGTTGTCGACCAATACTGAACTGGCAGACAGCTCAGAATCGGAGGTAAAATATTCATGCGCCCGTACTCAAAGTTCGCTTGTAAAGCAACAACAATCAAAGAGTCACCTAAAAGGTAGTAATAATTCTTAATATTAATTAAAATAATCAATTATTTGTAATATTTATCCTATCATAGTACGGCGTGAGATTGACAATTCTGGACCACACGTGCGACCCAACTATTCTTCCCAACTTAATAAGCTGACGACTGCACAGCACTATAAAAATGACTCGTTTGAAAACAGCATGCTAAGAAATTCACGTCTGCGCAATATAGAAGAGTATATGTGTGTTACCTCGGATGGCGACAATATTTTAAATCGCATTAAAAATATAGAAAATAAAATATTGTTGTTAGAATCCATCTCTCCAGAATACAAATATTTTGTAAGTATATTTATAATTGTTTATCAAATGTTTATCTTATCGAATTCTTAATATACTTTTAGATACAGTTCGGAACGGATTTGAAAAGAAATAATCATAGAAAAACCAAAAAAGAAATTTACATGTCGGATAGATTGAATGAATTTATTAGTAATTTAAAGAGAGAATTTGGACGGTAAAATTTGAGAATTTTAATTTACAAGAATTTTTACGCTAGTGTTGTTGTCTCAGAATCTTCAAAGCTATACAAAAAGGAAATAATTTTTTCACCATATGCTATTATAAATGTAATTTATAGGATGGGATTCGAAGGTCATCGTATGTAGAGTCAGCGCTATGTAAAAAGTTAGAAAACCATAGTTTATTAATAAAAGCATTCATGCGCGTCTGTATGAAATTCCATTAACAGTATTGGAATTGAGACTGTATTGTTTTCTACATGTTTGTGTTGTTTGCTAACCGGTAAATCAAGTAAATTTGGTATTGCCCAAGTGCAGCGATAGCAAGCGCAAATTGCATAAATTTCTGTATATATGTGCACACACACATTCACGCGCGTCTTAATGGAATCCTGTTGCTGCATTTGGTGTTGGTAGAAGAGAGTTCAGGATATCCCCCAGTCGGGGTCTCCCGACTAGATCTTCTTAGTTGTTATAAACAAATTGTTGGTATAGCTGTTAAGTAGAGGCGGTGACATGTAGAGCGGTCTGATACGGATTCGACCATTATAGAGGAACTACATTTTCTTTAAATGTATTTTAATTACTGCTAAAGCAAACAAACTCCCTGCGTTGGAGTATGTGGAGGAGGAATCACGGTATAGTAGAGAAAATATAATTCTTAAGTAAAGAATAAAAATAATCTTTATGTACTATATTATTTAAGAAAATACAATGAATAAATGCACCAAGCATAATCATCCGTGTCGTCGTGGCCGAATCGCTTCAAGTATCTTTGAAAGCATCCCTGCTCAGATAGGAGCTGCGTTAGATAGAAATTAGTTTCTCCATACTTGCGGTTTATCCAGGCTGCCAAGTTTGGGATAAACCTATAAGTTCTGCGTCCTTTTGATGAGCGATCCCATCGTACTTGCCATTGAGCAAGGCTCCCTGCTTTTGTACGATCCGTGTTTGATGTTTCCGTGCCGCTTCCACTTTGGGCTATACAGCAAACAACCATGGTAATGGTACCATCTCTGCGATCACATATTCACTAACAATAGCCAAGCAATAGTTTGACTATGCAAGCAGGGTGTTAGCAGCACGTCATTGATGTTTTTGGCAGACTACGCAAAAACACCTCAAAAAGCATCTTTAGGCAACCGCAAGAGGATTTACCTGGCTACCATGTCACGAAGACCGGTATAACCAATAATTGGAAGCTAGTAATTACAGATATTAAAAAAACTACTCTAACGTAATAGTTATTATCGATGCTGAATGTGTACAAACGACGCTTACCCAAGGCACCTTTTAAGCAAGGATAATTCCAAACGTTAATCATAGGTAATAAAAAGAAAGACAAGACGCCAATACTAGTGTCTGACATATCCACTAATACATTTTGAATGGCTTTTCAAACGTTAGCCGGCCGTCGAGGAGTCCCACATACCGTCTATTGCAACAACGCAACGAACTTCGTCGGAGAAGGCGCTAGACTCTGGAGTTGCGAGCTCAAATCGAGAGAAATTCGCGAATTCACATTAGAAAGCGGATACGAACTTGCGTTCATACCGCCAAGAGCTCCGCACTCCGGGGTTCTGTGGGAGTCAGGTGTTAACTCTGCAATGCACCTACTCCTACGAACGATAGGCAACAATCAAATTGTGTACAAAAACAATAGTGCAACGCTCAGGGCACTGTGTTGGTATTGCAAACTTCAACGCTGCGACCCCTTTTTTTTATGTTTGCTGACAGTATTCAGCTCTTTAGAAATTATGAAAGTAACAACCATAGTACGCAAGTTGCCCTTCAACACATATCGCTTAGACAAACATAAATTTTATAGAGTACAATGATTAGTCAAGGCAGCACGCATAATGTTATAGATTAAATAGTTGAGCAACGCTGAGTTACATATATTTCTTCGTAAAATGTGTGTAATACTTACGCCATCACGTAGATTTCCTATTTATTCGTCAGTCTATCCTAGCGAATAAGAGAATAACCGAAATTGTTTTTTTTCCTGATATTGGTAGCTATGGTAGTTCCTTTTTAATGCTTGTTACTTTTAATGAATTGAGTAGCGATGAGACATCTATGGTTTATGTGTATGTAAATACTAAAAAGGTGAGATCATTCATCTTTAGGTGTCAGTTGTATTGGGAGTAAAATATAGAGGACTCCCGATTATAATTCTTCCATTTTTAATATATTGTAGAATTATGTTTGCTGTAATATTTATACAAAATGTTATTTAATATTTATACAAAATATTAATATTATGTTATATTTATACAAAATATTACTATTGTTATGGAATATTATGACACTGGGTTGACTAAATAAAATTTTTAGTCCGTACTACATTAACACTAACTCATTCATCTCTATCTCTTACATTTTGCAAATTTGACATTATGTAATAAGTATTACGGGATATTTTGTTTGAAGTTTTCTCTATTTTGTATTAAGTCCCCTATTCTTAACTATTTAGCTAGTAGATGTCTATGTCTATGGTGTTAGTTTGTATACGTTTTTGTATTTCGACTCCAGCCGTACGTTACTAAATATAAATATAAAGTGTACAATATCAATGTTTGTTTATTTGAATTTGATTTATTCATCTATTCAAATCATTGTTTTTTTTCTTTCACAATATTCATCAATATAACTATTACATGGTTCCAACCTCATGTACTTAATTATTTTAAATATAAGCTGATCAAAAATATTTAAATTAAGTATATCTGTTTCAACATTTTGAACTATTTGCAATAGTTTAATGTAATGCATAAATGCCGTGAGAAATTCATAGTTTTTTTTTATTATGTAAAGTACATATTAATATAAGGCAGATTGATTAACCTTTATTAAAAATTAGAATATGCAAGAATATTTAATAAAAGCTTGATGTTGGCTTTTAAGAAAGAGTGGGAAATTGCAGTTCATCATTAACTTTAAAAGTTTTTGATCCTGAGCGATGTTTTTCACCGAATTTGTGGGATGCTGTTTTTTCCAATACGTTGCTAGACAGCGTTTCTTGGCGATGGTCACCACGCGGTGGAGCACGCGGTCCCTTACGAAAACCAGATTTTCGCGCATCATTGAAATTGAACTGAATGTCCACAATGCGCTGTAAACGACCAACACGCTGAGGATACATTGAAGGGTCATACTCTAACTCATCTTCAATGTCTAATCCCTTTTTTTTACTTAAGACCGTCATCTTTTTCCATTCAGAGTTATCCACGCCTTCCCCAGCTTTTCGCAGATTATAATTGGGCTTCGCACGTTGATCCTTAAGAGCCTTCCACTCATCAAGAGTCATTTGCTTTGATTCGTCTTCTTCCAAATTATTTATAAGATCGTTACACTGCTCATTTGCAGAATCTTCTTTTTCTGTTATAGGAGCTACAGCGCCTGTTTTAAGATCTTCAATATCTTGCTTGGCAGAGCCCCAGTTATGTGCACCAGCACCATCGCGTTTATCGATCGATTTAATTCCTAAAAAATCAATTTTTAAAATAAATGAGTAAGACGTGCTTTAAAAAACGCTTTTTCATAAACGGATCCTTTAAAAACTAAGGCGAAAAAATTAAACAGCTGTCTCTTGCACGAAAAATAAAATTGCTGCATATCTGCAGGTTTGCGGTAAACTGCTATTCTTTTTTGTGGCATTTTGTATTAAGATTAGCATAAGATATAAGAACTCTCGAGCCAAAGAAGCGTTCTGAAACAGAAAGGAAGGTTTTAAGAATTGTGAAGCTTCGGCACAGCACAGTGGATAGCACTTAGTTCTGTAGTAGTTGAAAGATTTTGGATCTGTTCATTTACCTCCGCTGATGGCAAGGATTAGCCGCGGCAAAGTTTTAAGTTACATTTGACTGGTTTCAAACTTGTCGTCAAAGCCCCACATAAGAAACGAATGAATGCGTGTTCGATTTTGAAAATTCCAAACGCAACAAATTTTAGCTGTAGGTCCTTCTGGTGCCCGCGCAGATCGAGATTGTTCCTAGCAATCGATAAAAATTGATATCGAAATACTATTTTTTGAGCAATTTTGGTAAATAATAAAAACTAGCCACCAAACTTGACATGTAGCTACTAGAATTGTAGATATAAGTATCTTTCATTTTGTAGCCCTCACCACCTCCTCGCTACTACATCGTAGCTATAAATTAATAAAATAACTTTTAATGCAATTGAATTTTTGAGAATACACAAATTTTGTATAGCACAATAAAACCATAAGACACTGTAGAAAATTTTATCAAAATCGGTTAAGAAACACAAAAGTTATTAAAGAAAACGTGATTTGACTTTCCCCGTATCAGTGGCAGCAAGCGAAAATTCTAAGAATTTCTGTATTCATGTACACACACACATTCATGCGCGTCTGTTTTGAGTTCTACAACGGCATTGCAAGGGCGATTGTATTGTTTGCTGTGCTGCTATTTTTTTTATATATTTTATTGTTAATTTTTTTTTAAACTCTATTATTGCTGTGGCTGAAACGGCGGCTCGTAGAGGTCTGTTGGGAGTTCGACCAGGTTCAGCTAATCCGATAATCCGTAGTCGGGAGCTCCCGACTCCCAACCCCTTAATTGTCTTCTTTTTAACACCGGATCGGATCTAAGCGAAAATTCATCGGATACATTTTGCAAAATTCACCCTTCTTGGATGATAAATGCGGTAAGTTTTTTAATAAAATTCATGTGAGTCCCAACGCTAAATCCGCCCCTTTTGGATGATAAGTTCGGCTTGGTGAAAAATAGCTTGGAATTCATAGTATACCACAACCTTTTTTTTCGACCGATCGTTCCTATGGCTGCTATACGATATAATAGTTATTTAAGCGAGTGTGGTTTTTATCTTGTCTATCAAAAATATTTTTTTATACAATAAAATATATATTTGTCCTCACCGTGGTTTTCTATTTATTGCGACAAGTACTTATTTTGCTTTGTAGTTTTTCAAACCAAAACAATGAGATCTGATCATATATCCAACGTTGGCATATTTCCCGATTTTGATTTGAAAGGATTAAATGCGATATTACAAAACGAACACAATAATACAGCGTTGTCATAGCCGCTACTATAATCTTAACAAACATCTTTTTAGTATTTTATTTGTTAAGTGCTTTATAAGTTATGACTATTCTGCGTACCGAGGCTATATGAGTTTCATGTTTGTTATATAGCATTGCAATCATTCAGCCATAACTGCACAGATTAATGAAGTGGACAAATGTATTTTTATGACCTCTTTCCTACTTAAGCCCTTACCCCTTTTATGGTTACATTTGGCACCCCGAAGAATTAATACCTTTGTAGACATTTGGCTTACGGTTTGGCAGATATGTGAGAACGTTAAGTCTTGAACTAGAATTTGGCAAAAATATATTGGAAAAAAAAACATATTTTACTATATAAAAACTCATTTTCTTACGATTCTTTCTATAGAGCTTTATAATATAGTAGTGGGATCTTGTCTCGATTTGAATACATAACGAAAGTAATAAATGGGGTTTAGTCGAGTTATCTCGATAAACAAAAATGTTTTAATTTGATTTTTGGCCGATCGTTCCAATGCCAGGGGAAGGAAGGAGCATAAATGCCCAGTTTGGTACAGATATTTTGAAAAACAAATAATTATTCATACAACAACTACATTTTCAGACAAAAGCTTCTATAGCAGCTAAAGGATATTGTGGTTCGATTTTTATAGGATTTTGCACACACATATGATGTGATATAGGGACGTAATGAAATGAAACGTTATGAAACTAATAAATGTCGAGTTTGGACGATATCTTGAAAACAACAATGTTATATATGTTAGAAGTGCAATACAAGTAAAAAATCCCGAATTTGATCAAGACAGTCTTCTGTTTTTATATTCGTGTGAAGGGAGGAGAGTATTATTTTCCCTGTTAATTATTTAATACATATCTGCGATTTCGATATGTCTACAAGGGTATTTAATCTTCGGCATGGCGAAGGTATCCGTTCATGTTTTTTGTACTAACAACCATTACAAAAGCTCTTCTGCGTCGAAGATACATACTTGCTAAAACAATATTTTAATGTGTCTGTAAATACTAATTTACTGATATAAATACACATGCAAATATTTTAATATTCACCTGTTTTGTCGGAACCAGATTGACGATCAAATTCTCTTTTTCCCAATTTCTCATTGGTACGATAACGTGGAGCCTTACTATCGCGGTCTTTAATTTGACGTTGTGGGAGCTCACTGTTGTATTCTGGAGCATTGGAATGATTTGTTTCTAACCCGTTATTACGAATGTTATTTCTTGGACGTGTTTCCTTGACTGCATTTGAAGTACTTCGCACGCCATTGGGCTTTGACACCGTGTTGACATTTGCAACTTTTGAGTGAGAGTTATTTTTATTTAATATGTTTAATTTATTTTCCTTTTCATTTTTATTGATGTTCTGCTTTGCGATATGATCAGTTTTCTTCTTGCCGGCTTCATTACATTCGAGTGAAATAGGAGCAGCTACCGCGTCATCATCCATAAATAATAGCTCATAACGATTATTGCCGGAATTCTCCATTTTGCAATCCTTCAAAAAAAAAGTTGCTTTCTTTTAAGATGACAATGTTATAAAAAGATTAAACTCTTGCAGAAACCATTCGTATTCCCAGTATTCAGTTCTCTCGACATGAACTAGTTCTGTTGAGTGAACAGTACTATCGAGCTACGGCTGAATTGAACATTATAAAATCAAACTTATGCAAACGTTGGAATGGAACAAATGTTTTTAAGCTAAGGCTTAATATCACAATATGCGTTTAGCCGCTCAATCACATTACGCACATTTTTCGGATGATGCGAAGTTTGCTAAGAAGCGTCCTTGCGGCTATTCCGTAATCCTGAAGCCCTTATCGCCACGTAGGGGTAAGGATAACCTTATAGATAAGGACTCTGTTTTAAAACGGGAGTTTATTGTTGGGGCTTAGCAGCCAGCTCATGCGCCTGATTTTGTTTTTCTTGTTGTTTATTTTTTGCCTCGGTTACATATTTTTTGAACGTTAGTCGTCTGTCGAGTGTGACCTCTAGGTATTTATGGAAACGCAACTGCTTTAAGAGCTCGCCGTAGAGAAAAAGTCAGGGGTTCACTAGGACATTTTCCCTACAAACCGGTTTTCGAAGAGCTTAGGATACTCCTGCTGGATGTTCATTGCTTCATACACGCAATTTTCTTAACAAGAATTGCCATGTCATCAGCAAAAGTGGCCAACAGGAGGTCCTGCCGACTTACAAGGGCCATTTCGTTTGCCGTGGGCTATCGTGCGTGAAGAGGCTGTAAAGTGTGGGACCCAAAACACAGACTTCTGGGATACCCGCTCTTATGCGTTTGGTGTGAGAAGCTACTCCATCCTGCTCCACTTGAAATGTCATTTGGGTCAACAAGCTCGCAATGATTCTAAAGAGCTGCAAGCTTAATCGTTATTTATCTTTGAGGAAAGAGCTGCGTGCCACACCCGGTAGAGAGTTCGTTCGTTGTAGTCGTACTAGTTCGTTGCCAATCCATGCGCTCGAACCAGGACGTTTAATTCTAACAACTTCACCTCGAGGCTTTCTCTCTTCACAACCGAAGTGTGTTTTTAGGAAATTATATATTTCATTGCGATAGTTGGAGAGCCCATTAGCATTCCATATGGCTATGCGAAGATCTACTTGTATAGTTTGTTGGATATATTCGGTCTATTATATGTAAGCCAGAGGACGATTATGCTCCACGAAAGGCATTACATTTGTATACCCATATGAAAATAGGTTAAAGTCTCAGAGATGTTGAAGTAAATGAGAATATGTTGACACGGCAATCCCTTACTCAACATCTTGACAGAAGATGTTAAATTTGCTCAGTATGAATTAACAATAATGCTTCATCAAGTGAGAAAAGGTGATGTATTCTATATCGATGACGAAATTATCGGCAGATATTGATTAGCCTATCGGTAAATTTCCATATCTAATTATTATGTGCACCACTAGCAACCTATGTGAAACACATATATCCATATAACCCCTTTCGTTGTCATCGAAATTTTCAGTGTCTTCGTGCTAGTGCATAACAAATTTAAGTTTTTGCAAGTTTCTGTGGAAATTGATACATAAACTTAGGAATTGCGTGAATGGTACTGCAATATTTGATTATTAGAACTCAATGGGATAACATTTTAAGTACGTATCCATGTTTAAAAATTCGGATGAATCAATTGTTTTATGTAGATTAATATATTTATGTCGATTAATATATACTGACACAACATTGATCATATATCCTTAATTTATGTTGTTAAGAACTTTGCCTTAGGATCATAATTTGTCTATCTCTCCGCCAAAAGTTGCTGGGATTTGCTAACTATCTGAACTTTAAGGTCCACTCAGATTTTCTAAAAACACCGGTAAGTTAGCATAATGGTTTTTATAGTGAACAATTTTGAATTATACAGTGTTAAAATATTTATTAAACTTCATATTTTGTGCACATGTGTAATCATATAAAATCAATATATTTTGTATGACATCATGCTTTATGTCAGCCAGTCAAATTTTCTACAATTCTAAGCGACATTCAATTTAATTTATACAATATACACGAATATAATCAATATCATTTAATTATGTACACATGCATAAATATTGACCCACACTTATGTACGTTCATATGGAAGTTTGGCAGAGTAAACAATTCATTATTTATATTGCGACCGTCTTGAATATAAAAACCATTTGAAGTAATATTCCGATATGAAACTCTTAATTTACAATCAAAATCCGCTAACGATTATTATCAATTTTATTATAGAAGTTTTATTTAATTTTTTCAAATAACTTTCTTCTTTAAATTAAAAAGTATTTTGTGGATATAAACAGTTGTGTTAAAGCGTTTGGCTTGGAATAAAGAATATATTGCGTTTCTGCACCGATATTTTGCCATATTTCCAGTAAAGCCGGTTTTATCTGAGTTTAATTTTCTTCCTTTATATTAACATTGGTAATTGGGTTTAGATTTGGAAATTGGGGCCAATCAGAAAAGATATATGCGGTGTTATATGCTGGCCCTATTTTAATGTCGAAAATCCTATGTTTAGATCCTTATTGTCCATTAATTTGTTCAAATAAACTGCTCTGTCCATCAGCCTTGAAAAATGTGAGTGACTAACGCCTTGCTTTGTACTTAGATGGCCTAATGCAGCCCCCTTCTAATAGTCATTATTGGGTGTAGCTATTTTCCAAATAATTTTTGACCCAATCATGTTATTTACTTTATCGCGGTGACTTTAAAGCCAAAGGCAACGTTGGCAAATGAAAATGTTAAATTATTTTGCAGGAAGATAGGAAGTTGTTCGTTGTTTTCGAATGTAAAAATAAAAAAATACCACTCAAGCACATCTAAATTTTTGTGCTTTACTTTACAGTTATATTTAAACTCTGAGCATATGAAAGCTTTAAAGCGTTTTCGCTAAATTTATATTTTTTCGTTTAATATAAAACGCCCAACAGAAATACTCACAGAAAAGATAAAAACACGATGGAGTGCACCTTTTATCTTAGGAAGAAACACATTCAAAATAAAAGAAATGAATTTTTATTTACCTCTCTTCAGCTATTTGATCGCAATGATATTGAATTTGTTCATCATGTTAGTGTTTATATATATTTTTTTAAACATTAGTATTATGTTACTGTTACTAAATGTTAACTGAGTTAAATGTTACTTTAAGGTGGATATTACTAATCTGAACATATTTGCTGCACTAAAATTTGTGTGTGCTTGTATGGTATTAATACAAAGTCTTTAATTCATCCTCTTAAACTGATTCAGCTAGTCTTAATCTCACATATATGGCTTTTGGCTTTTATAAGTAACACACAAGCACACAACAATTTTAATGCACCAAATATTTTCAGCGTAGAAATATCCACCTTAAATTAATTAATACTAATATTAAGTTAACATCTATATATTGGCGAGCACTACTATGATGCCGTTTGCTATAACTGTTTAAAACAGAAAAATAAGCTAGGCATAAACTATATAAAGCGCCGGGGCGCTGAACATTATGGTCCAACAGTCCAATCTGCAATATTGCTTCTGAGTCATCGAGTAGGCTTCGCTTTGGTAATGAGGCCTTGATAAGAAACACTAGCGTTACTGCTTTCGGACAAAATCATACCTAAACAGTAAACGGCTTGCTTTTTGTGTATAGTGAAACATTTGTTACATTGCCCCTGACAATCTCCCTTACAGCTTTATTTTGAAATTCTGTTCTGGGACTTGTTAATATAATTAACGACGTAACTGCAGCAAGCATAGGGATCTAATATTAACTGGATATCTATATTAGCTCGCTGCAGTAGAAGAAGGTGAGTATTATAAGCGTTAAGCTTAATTGCTGCCAAAATTGCTTTTAATATATTTTGGAATTGTTAATATTCACTAGTGCATTTATATGACATTTGTTATAAAAGTTTAGTTAGCCGTGAGATAAAAAGTTATTGAAATTGCTAAGGTAATTTATGATTTCACGATCAAACGGATATTCTAAACGCCCTGAATCTGTTCAATACTTCTACGATGCTTGGGCATGGTCATGATAGGGTATAGAATACAAAATCTTCATATGTTTTGTGCCCTAATTTCTCATACACATCCACAGCCATATCCAGATTATTTGTTTCAGTTGTGATAAACTGATCAATAAAAGACTTAATCGATGGAATGCTTGATTCATCAGACAAGTCAGCAATCGGGACATCTTTCAGTCAAAAAATTACATGAATGTCGGGGGGAATATTACTTTGTGATCCTGTGACTGCTAAAAACACCGCCTTACTTATTGATTGTTCCTTATAGTAATAATTTCAATTTTTATATAATTGAGAAATAATTTATCGGTTCTTCAACCACTCCCATTAGTTTCTAAGTTCTGAACTCTGGTTGTACAACTTTCAAGACACTTTTCTTAATGGCAGCTTTAACTATTCTTTGCATGGCAACATTTTCGAGAGCATTTCTCTGCGTTCTTGATAAACATCGTCTGTATTATTTTGCTTATTTATAGAGGCGTGAGCAGATTTGTCTGCTAGCTTTAATACTAGTTCCCTGGGGTCAGCACCTGGAGATCTTGGCACTTGGAGATCGCCATTTTAAGCTCGTGTATTCCTTTCTTGCCTATCAATAGCCATATACAAATATCGATTGTTAGCATGAGCATGTCGAAGATGGTTTCTTCTTGTTTCAGTATACATATACCGATGGGTTTTCGGTCCTTCGGAATTTCGTCGCACAAGTTAAAGAACGACAAATTAGGGCAGCGTTGTTTATTTTATACCCTTGCAGACGGTATTATTATTTTGTCGTGAAATGTGTAACGCATAGAAGGAGACATTTCCGTCTACATAAAATATATATATTCTTGATCAGTACCATTAGCCGAGTCGATATAGCCATGTCCGTTTGTCTGTTTCTATGCGAACTAGTCCCACAATTTTAAATCTGTCGTCATGAAACTTTGCAAAAGTCCATCTTTCTGTAGCACGCAGTACATATTTTGAAACCAGCTTTTCTAATAGACTTGCTGTTCAAAATATTAGATTTAAATTTTCCATGGGCGGGAACTGGGTGAGGAATTCCCAGAACGTCTTATATTAAATATATCTAGTGCCGGCTAGAGGGTAATGACACCTAGTTATATTTCGTTTATGAGGTAAACTTTGTATCAGCTGTGCAACGTAAAAATGGTATTGGAAACAAAAGCTATGTGCTAATACATGTCGCTTTTGGAACCAGAAAAGTTGGCATTAAATCGAAAAGATCTCTCCTAATTAAATTATGTACTTTATCCTACACGTCAGTACTTGTTGGCAAACTATAATAATAGGTAGTGCTTTCCTTGAGAAAGCGAAAAGTATGACCAGTGTCATAAAGCTTTTAGAAATTAACCCCAATTAAAATATAACATTATATGTATGTGTGGTTCCTTATTAATTGTATTATTTTTAAATAAATGTATTTTTCCTTCAATTTTATAGCTAAAAAAAAGCGGAAATTATAACCGAAAATTAATACTAACATCGCAGAAAAAAGATTATATATATACATATGTATATATGTATATATATTTAACTATATTAAAAAGTCGACCATATGCAGAAATTACACTAGCTAATTTTTTGCTAAAACATCTTTATAAAGAAAATGGCAGCGCCAAATAAAGAAATATTTGATAAAACGGAGTTTTCAGAGCTTTTATCAAAATTGTCCTTAAAAGATTTGTTGAAACTTGAATTTCGAGCTGAAAATGATAACACGTTGGAAGCTATGGTTATTTGTGAAGACCAACAGAAAAAAATGTATTTATGTAAAGTTTGCAAAGTGTTTCAATATGGAGAAAAGAATTTATTTTGCCATCTTGGTGGGAAGAAACATTGTTGTAAAATGGAATCAGTAAAGCAATTGTACCTTTCGACGGATAGAGAGTATACGACTGTAACAAAACAATGCAAGAACGTCAAATACATAAAAAAATCAAACCTTGCTGAGAACTTAAAATATAAGGAAAAAATTGAAAAATCCTGTGATTTAAAGAGTAAATCAGAGTCCTCTATTAAGCCAAAAAATATACAATTTAAAGCGGATTGTAAACAATTAATATTAAAGCCAGCAATCAACAATGTAATTGGTGCTAAAACTACTAGTATCGATGCCAAAAAAACAATTTCTGCGAATGACACAGTAAATCTTGTATCGAACGAGAAGCTGGCGCCAAAATTAATAACGTCTGTTGATCAGAAAACAAATTCAGTTAAAGACGATTGCGCTAAGAAAAAAATGGTTACTATAAACCAACCCGTGGAAAAAAAAATACTCGGATGTGAAGATAGTGCTGTAAAATGCGGAAGTGATAAGTTGAAAACCTCTTCAAGTTTTATAAAGAATAAATATGAAGACGAACTGAAGAAAAACATAATTTTGCAATCACATGTTACAGAGAAAACGGACAACGAAATGCTGGATCCATGCAAAACAGATTCTGTCTATGCGTTAAAATCTGCTGCCCAATCCAATATTGTAATAAATCCACTTTCAATGTCAAAGAAAACAAAAATTTCTTGTGTACCAATATCAAAATTGATATGTTCAAAGATGACTACGGAAAATAATCGTAACATTG